ATATAAAGTGTATTTTTATGATAGCAGTAACTGTAAGTGGACTATTGTAATATTGTTAATTGTAAATCAAATGTAAGCTAGTAGGCTACAGTACTAATTACTAAGCTCAAATGAGTTGATGTGTGTTTCTTATAGCAGTTAAAATGTAGTCATTTTCTTTAATGATTTATTTAACATGGCTAGAAACTGTAAAAAACAAAACAAACAAAAAAAAGTCAAATAATAGTATGTAATAATAATAGTAATAGTATAAACTGAGACAGTGGTAATATAATTAGTAGAGGAGCTTAGATTAGCCTGCTTTAGACCAGGTTAGTTTCCCAGCATAATGGAACCAAATCATTTGACAATGAGTCAGACTAACTGAAATAAGCCTGGCTTATTTGGTTAACTTGTTTTATGAAACAGGCCTCAAGGCATGAAAAGTTATCATATTTTCTCCAATGCATCGTATTGCATCGAATCGCATTGTGTTGAATCGAACCGAATCGAAATCGGATTGCATCGTAATAGGGGTGAATCGTATCACATCGCATCGGTAGCTGCTTCATATGTATCTTTAATGTATCGTATCGTTGGCTATGCATCGAGATGCGTATCGTATCGGCCTGAGTCATGAGATGCACATCCCTACCAGACACGCTTGCTGAGCTGTAGTTAACCGGAACTATTGGATTGGAAATGTTTCAATTGTCGGACAAGTGCTTTGCACCTGTAAATACTTCATAAAGTCCAATCAATTCATGCAACCAAAACAATCAATAATAAGGAAGTTGTCTTCTCTTTAATTCTACTAACCTTTACAGCACTTTTTTCCCAACTATAGCTATTAAAACTACACTGATACTGAGGAAGAACCCATATCCAATCTAAACGGTAGACATCGAGCTGATGTCTGAAGAAACAGAATTAACAATGAGCTTCTATCATGGAGGTCAGTGCATTGACTAAATTGCCATAGTGATATAAAGATCAGGGTTCCGTTGTTCTTAAGGACATCACATTTTCTCCAATACTTGGATGATCATCAGAGCAAAGTCAGCATAAGGGCGCTTATGCACTAGAGAAAGCTCTGACTGAGCATTCGACAGTCAGAAATGTACAAGATGCCTTTTAAGGGTGTGTAAAATCTAAAATGTGTAAAATGTCTCATCTACAAGAAGAGCATCTTATTCAGGGCTCCAAACTGCGACTAAAACGGTCGCATTTGCGACCAAAAATATTAATTTGCGAGTGAAGTTTTTGCTGAGGTAGCCACTGGCGACTATATATATTTACATGTTATAACTTTAAAATTTGCATGTAATGCCTTTTTTCCTGATTGTTTTGCGATCACATCTTTTGCTATGTTCACGTATTAAACTGAGACGATGCGCATCAAAGTTTTAGTGGAAAAAATTGTTTTAAACAGTGGTCGCTTTAGCGCCTCAGTTCAAGCGGCAAGTGAACCCATTTAATCTTTCTCTTCACTACTATAGTACATAATGAACATGAATTAACATAAACAGGTAGGCTATTTTATAAGAAAGCCTACAGTACAACTTGTTGAAATGTCTCATGTAAAAGCTCATTCAGTGTTTCAAACTGCGGAAAACGTGTAAAGCTTATAAACATTGTAACATAATATACATTTACCTCAGAATAGCATTCGGTGTCCATAATCTCATCAGTCAGCTAGAAAAATAACTAAAAAAGAGGAGCATTTTGCTATATTTATGCGCTGTTGCATATTAATATTTTTCCTTAACCTGTTGTCTACATGATTCAACTCCTCCTGTAAAATTGCATTTAACTAATTAAGAAAAACAGACTACTTACACTCTTAAAAACTATTACACTCTTAAAAATAAAGGTGCTTAAAAGGTTCTTCACAGAACCATTCAGTCAAAGGTTCTTTAAGCTCCTGAGACCCTGCATCCTCATATGAGGACATTATATTTTAGTGAATTTCTCTGAGACTATACATGACACAGTTAAGTCTGGATGTCCTGTAAAGAGCACATTCAGGGCTTTTCAGAGATACCAAATGTTTGGATGTTTCACCATGACCACTCCCTCTCCTTGGTCTTCAAAAATGTCTGATATTCATTTAGTGACACTCTTATGGAAATATGATAATATTTTGTAATTATCATTTAAATCTGACTAATTTTTAAGCGCCATTTTACACACATTTTGCATAAAGAAAAATGGTATATCAAATCATTCTGTTAAAAAATAGTTGAGAATTATCTTTATACAAAATTTGGTAAAAAAAATTAAATCCTGAAAACTAAAAATGTATTGGTGATTTTTTTTTTAAATAATTTGTTTTTGCCTATGCATGTTCATTCATGTCTTTTTATTTTTTTAAAGAAATTGAGTCCCGATGTCCTCTACCAAGGACATAGCATAACTTATGAATGAAATATTATTTTTTTATTTTTTTAATGCTCTAAACAATGTAATGACATGAAAAAATACTAGTTTTTTCCTAAAATGTTTTGCTGGGTCTTAAGCGGTTAAAGAACCATCTCTTTCTCAACTTTTTATAATCTGAAGAACCTTCTTTCGCCACAAAGATCCTTTTGTGAAACGTAAAGGTTCTTCAGATGTTAAAGGTTCTTTATGAAACCATTTAGACAAAAAAGGTTCTTCTATGGCATCGTGAAGCACCTTTATTTTTAAGAGTGTATGACAACATTTACAGGATGCATTGAGGAGGAGCTCAAACTACACTCAGTGGCCAAGTGATGCTTATGGTCCACAATATTGGTACAGATTCTGTGTAATGAACAATTCTTTGTGACTGTATATTTCAAGTTGGAAAAGATTTAGTTCCCACTTTAAGTGAACATTAGTTCCCAGGTCATCTGCAAGATGGATTAAAATGCTGATAAAGTCAAGAAAAGATGAGACAAGCACATGACAGTAAGATTGAAATGTAAAAAAAAAAAAAAAAAAAAGAATAAATAAAACACGCTTATTCTGTGGCACCTTAAAAATATATATATTTTTTTTTTCTTATAGGAGCCAATGGCTCCTTTCTCGATTTTTTTGTCTGGAGCCCTGTTATTTGTGGATCCCAGGCACCAAAGTTTGAAAACCCTGGGCTAGATGGTACCGTGAATAGTTACGAGATCTTTCCCACAAAATTCACCCCTAAATCACTTTAAAAGCTGATCATCAGTCACCTAAAATGAGTACTGTTGAAATCCTTGGAAACACACACACAAACCATATGGGTAGCGACACAGATATGCACTGGCACACACAGGCACGCTTGTGACCCTGAGGTGTGTGATTAAATGTGCATGTGAATATTCAAACACGCAGTGAAGAAGATAAGACTAGAGGGAAGAAATCCACACAGGGCCGATTAAGCATTGCACACACTTTTATATTATCCCCAGCATTAATGGATTGTGTGTGAGAGCTGCGAGTAGTGGAACAAAGCTTATGCACAATAGCCTCAGTTATGGGTTAATCTCCCATAAAAAGTGCACACAACATTAATGTCATTCAGCTGCGGAGACTTAAAGAGGTCCTATTATGCTTTTTTATGTAACAAATAATGCTTTTTTCGAACCACCAAGCATGAGAGCATGTTCTAGTACACCCCCAAAACAAAATCAAGACTTTGTAAAAAAGCATAATAGGACCCCTTTAAACATGATGGTGTAAAATGATTAATAGCCTCAGATAACCTGCGTGCTCAGCAAAACCACTGTTTCTCACCTTCCCAAAGTCCCTCACGTCAAAGAGATCGAAGGGATCAAACAGCTCACTGTTCCTCAGGCCAAACTTATCATGGCACACTTTCAGGAATGTTCGGATGTTCTTCAGACACAGAAACTGGAAAAGAAGAAGACAAATAAAGAATGTCAGACCATTTAGTTACGATTAAAATTTCAACCTGATAAAAAAAAAAAAGAAAAGGAATTAAAACAAATGGAAAAGTCTTTTTGGTAAATAACTACAAACCTATGGAAATATTTCCATATTTAACAGCATTAAAACACTGTCACTTCACAGGCATGGAGAACTCTGACACCATCTCATTTCTGCAGCATGTGGAGCATATTTAATTTCCTGGAGCCTATTGACAGTCAGCTCATTTCCTTCTTCCTGTACCAGTGATTAAGCAAACAGTTATCACACACTATGATTTGGATCCCCAGGCCCAGGCTTGGCTTAGATAAGCCAATGAGCATCTGATGGATCGCCTCTGGCATGATCTACCCCAGTCACTGTTCACTTACCAGCCTACAAACCTACCATTCCTTCTGTCCTTAGGGTCTCTAAAGCAAACTGTATCCTTCTTTCATTGCACAATCATTACCTTTAGTAACACTTATGCTAGTATGACACAACGCTGGCTCCTGTTCCTCATTTGTTTCAGAGAATTCATGCATAAACGTTCCTTGTAATGAGAATTTGTTTAATATAATTGACTTGAGCTGGATGAAACCAATACAACCACACAAACAGAGACAAAACAATAACAATTTTGCCATTGTTTATTTCCACCCAGCAAATGTCAATGAATCATGTCTCATGTTTAATTCATGTCTCAGATATAATTCAATTATGTGCATGGGTTCGGATGTCTATGGAGACAGTGGTGGAAACAAACTCCACAAATACTGGTAGCTGTGTTCGCAACAGTACACTTAAGGCGAATAGTGCATTCCGTACTAGTAATGATTCAGGAGAGAAGGGGGCAATAAACCAGAGATATTACAAGCATGCCACCATTATTCAGCAGGAATCATAACCCCTATTGTGAACACACCAGTAGCAGCTCTGTTTCTTGTGCAAAGCGGGACAGCAGAGGTCTATTTTTCATATTAAAGCCAGTACAATGGAGATAACCACCCTTAGAACACAAGCCGGATTAAATTCTCACAGCCGTGATGCCATTTGTAAAACTAGCCCTTAATGAGAACTGTAAGACAACCTCAAGCGTGTCAGGATCAGCATTACACTGGAAACACAAGAGTGTAGCTATGCCTTGTACTGTACGTGATAAGCAAGAAAATACCAGTTCATTTATCAGAACAGATAAAGATGGCTAAGGATGGCTGAGAATATGACGTCAAGATAAGGGACAAAGAGAATCACAAGACAAAAAGACCACAATAATCATACAAAAGAACTTTATATCATTATATAAAATGTATCTAATATAGCATTATATAAAATATATATTTGCACTTTAGTTATATAAAACTATATTTTTGTACATTAAAATCAGATGGCATTTTAGTTCAAGCAAAATTAACTAAAATTCATTCATATAAAATTAAATATATACAATGTCAAAACACTGGAGACCATGTCTTAAAAAACAAAAAAATTACCACTAGGTAAAAGTGCCTAGCAAGCACCACTATAATAACATACTCAACAAAAATGCGGGAAATTTATTGTTCTCATTTTGTATCTGAAAATGTCCCCCTATAAGACTCGATACTAGACATTTTGGTGTCTAGTAACTTGCTTTTAAGAGACCACTGTCTGCTCCAGAAGAGATGCTTCAGTAATTTCTCTCTCTCCACATTTTTTATCTCTCTGAGACCATAAGTTCAGTCTGTTCCCACTAACCATTAAAAACACACTCTGGCTTTTAAAATTGTAATTTTCCACCCTGTTTAGCTGCATCCAGCTCAGATGAATAGGCCAACCCTCTACCTTGCGAGTAAATCACTCGCATATGCGACTAAATCTTACTCTGGGCGACTAAATAATGTCTAACATTAGCCATTGGCTAATAAATTCTTAGATTTTACACGCCAATATGTGTGTGAGAAGCGTTCAACACAGATTTTCACTCGATAAACATGCTGACTGAGCGCTTGAGAGTTTCACTCTCCGTCAAACGATCTGTACTATTTGGATGCGCTCAATAGATCATGTCATGTACTAAATGGATGCGCAGTATGTAGCACGCAGCGCACCTGTATTTGACGTACCATAAACTAGTGTGAAGGCGCACGACTCGCCGTCGCTTTAACTGCTGTGTTTCTCACACATGCAAAGAGAGAGAGCGAGAGTCTTGCATACCACGCTGAATCGACGCGCTACATGTAAACCATATCCTTTGTTGTATTTTCCTGTCAAAATAACAGAGTTCATTTAGAATTATTCAGCTTTTAAGAACAAGCAAAAGATATGCCGGTTTCTCGGCAGTGGGCGGAGCTAATGCGCGATCTATCTATTACCGTCCCCGTTTGATTTCAGCAAATCAGTTCGAGCGAACGCTGACAACGTGATTAATATTCATGAACCCAGCAAATAATAATAGTAGTAGTAGTAGTATCTTTTAATAATAATTACTATTACCTATGACCAACAATATCTTAAACACCACCACCAGTCCTAAGTTCAGTTAAAATGACAAATATGCATTCATTCATGGTTACCAAGTTTTAGTTCTAATCACTAGTTCTATCATTAAATAGTGCTTAATTATCATAATATCATAATATAATGCTTGATTGGCTGAAGTTAAGAGTGCACATTCAGTTATTTAAGAAGCTGTTCCATTTTACAAAGATAAGCTGATTGGGTGGAATCATATATGTGTGTGTGTGTGTGTGTGTGTACCTACTTAACCATATTTTGGGGACAATTTGTACCCAAAAGTGAGCAAAACCTGACAAAATCGGCAAAAACCTCAATTTGTGGATGTCCTCATTTGTAAAACTGTTATAAAAATAAAGTAAACAAAGTTTTTTTTTTACTTTTGAAATTGTAAAAATGCAGAAAGTTTTCTGTGAGGGGTAGGGGTGGGTTTAGGTTAAAAAGTATATAACTATCTGTATATAAAAACAATAGAAGTCTATGTAATGTCCCCATTTAGATAGCTAAATAAACGCGCGCGCGCGTGTGTGTGTGTGTGTGT